CCCTTGACCATTTCTTTCAAGAAAACAACAAGGTGACAAACAACACCTGCAAAGGTTGCTTTCCTTCTCTAAGGACTGTTTGGATTCCTCCTTATGATTTCCTAGGCCAGAGTGAGAACCTTGTGTGACTTAGTTTCACACAGCCTCAAGCTAATGCCTGAAGCCTAAAAATCTCTTATTTGACTATTGGCAGTTCCTATACGCATGAAACATGGGTTGGTGACATTTAGAGTAAGTCCAAAGCAGTTGCATTTTCACCTGGCCTTTACTTAAAAATAATTCTGTCTTTACATGAATAGTGCTGGAGCTGAGAGGTATCAGTGGTGAAAAAAAACTCGTTAGTTCTGTTGATATTTCAGCCACTTTAAAAGGATTTCATAAGACTGCTATTTTCCTTCCTGCTTCCCAAAAAGCCAGCACTTAAACCAGAATTATTCCAATTAACATCCAGTCAATTCTGTATATTAACATAAGAAGCTTTTCAAAGCAAGTCGTATCTATAAGTACACAGTGCTCCACTAAGATGAGATAAATGTGAGAAAATAAAAGTGACCAGCAGAGAAACTACTGAAACCCCAGGGTTTATTTCCTTTTTCATCTGCCTTGTTTAGCAAACGGGCCTGCAAAAAGTTAAGGCTTAAATTAAAAGATTTGACCATGGGCAAGATGAAATACTACCAGAATTCATTTTTTATGTCATCATTAATGATTTGAGGAAAAACACACATTTTTCTTTGTGCCAAGAATACTTACAGGTTTCCTGAGTCCAGATTTTAATTAGTGCTTTAGGAGAAGGAAGAATATTTATATTTCCTGCTGCTGAATGTCAGTACTTGATACGAGGTCTACCTTTCCCCAGAAAGCCCTTACAAGGAATGAGGGACATTTGATAATAAAATTGAATCTTCCCTTACAAACAGTTCAAGAAACATGGGTAGAGCATTACAGAAAATCTGTGAAAACCTGACATACTTTAAAAGTAGGGGCAATCCTTCCTAATCAGGTTTTAATTTTAAATGTATCATATGGCAGTGTTTTAATTCCCTTATTGTCTGGGATCCAAGGAGAGAGAAATGACTATCAAGAACTTAAGGAAGACATCACTGAAGATGTAACACAACACTGTTTCATGATAAAGATGGCCACATTTGTGCAAAGAAAATAAAGGAATAATGCATGTAAGCTTTAAGTAATTAGAATGAGCAGTTTTTCCTCATAACTAGGTACTGGATTTCCCTGAGGGGTAGCTGGATATCTCATTTGCACTGCTTTTAAAAGCTTTACATGGTTTTGCATCCATGACACCACACATTTTGGCTTGTTTAAATGCACAAGCACTTTGTTCTTTTCCTCCAGACTGTGAGAATTATGTACCTTAAGTCACAACATGTCTGACACAACTTTCCTGCCCAAAAATATTTAGAGAAAATAGTATATTCACAAGGACTGTATCATGCCCTGACAGAAGTGTGTCCTAGTCTTGTTCTTTAGAATTGAAAACCTGACATCTATCTAGCATATTTTATCTTAAGATTTTATCTTAACATGAAACTGTTGAGGTATCACTCTTCAGTCTTAAGCAGTCTAAACATCAGATACTCAGGTTCACTGTTCAGACATGGCCATAATCACAAGACATGGATGTTGTTTCTCAGTGTACTGTTCGGAAAGGGTATTTTTAAAGCTACTTTCCTACTTTAAAAATGTTTAGACAGTTAGTATTTTGAGTAGACAGTCAAGTGGAATGATTCCTATTCCATAATTAGGAGAGATGTCCCATTCTACATTCAGCTACCCCAAGGACCAAGCCCAAAATTATGGCTTCTTGAACAATTTAGTCTGGTATGAATAAAATTCAAGCTAATGTTTTAGCTGTTTTACTGGAGGCAAATTTCATACTTGAAATATAACATATTAATTTTTCTACTGTGATGCAAAAAACCCCACAGATATTTGGAATGTTTTACAATGGTAGAATATATATAATACATATATATAGGATGAAAACTTCATATGCTTATTTGCTTTCTCTTTTAACAGGAACTCATAACCACATTGTACATTGGATTCTTGGATTAATTTTTTCATCCTAATTTGTTTATCTTGCTGAGAAGGATGCAGTTGATGAAGATGGAAAGACAAGTTTCTCCAGCTATGCTGATGCCCTTTGGTGGCGTGTGGTAAGTCCTCACCAACAAAATGTGTGTGCAAACAGGGCCCAAGGTTTTCTGCTCAAGTTATGATCTTTTCAGAAAAATCTGGCATTTCTTTCTTTGCAGAATGTATTTCTATAGGGAAGCTGACAACCTCTTCAGATGGATACAAGAAAGATTATAAGAAATACAATTAAGTTATTGGGGTATTAAATTTTATTGCGAAAGCAAGTTAGAAAGTTCTTAGCAAAGAACACTGAATGCTTACATATATGAAAAGTCCGCATCTCAAAAAGATTAAAAATCCCCTTCAAAACCTATATCACTTCCTTCAAACTCTACATAGTTGTCTGTGAAAAGTGCCTAACTCAAAAACATGTTCCATATGTGAAAGTTGGGTTAATGACTTTATATTTTTTTTATCTTTTTTGAGTAAAACTCACTTTTTCAGTAATAATTCAGATCTTGATCAGGTCAGATCAGGTTATAGGTTCCTGTTTTTTGGTTTTTATCTTTAACTTAGATGCTGCATAAGTCTCTACTTCAATGAAGTATACAGAATTATAGACTATATTACATGTAGCCTGAGTCACCACTGTGTAAGTAGTTCACTATAAAAATATTTTAAACATTAAATTCCTGTCACTAGGTTGTCAAGTATTCATTTAATCTGCAGAGTATCACCTATGACTGTGCTAAACAGTACAAACCCAGAAGAATCTAGTGAAAAAAGAAAAATCCACTCAATGGCCAGGTGGACCTGATGATCTAAGGTGCTGGGAAGCAATGAAACCAACCCATAGAGCTACAACTTATTAAAGTCCTCATTGGGCATGGGATAAAATTTTAGGAATATGAAACCTCATGGTTATAGATGTGAAGTAACCTGTAGCTAGTGGAAGAATATAATGAGTGTCTTGGAAGTACAGATTGTGCTGCATTTTAAAAGAAAATCAGGGTATAATTGAAAGATACAACTAACATTTTCCAACATTCTCTGCTCAGAAATACTGATAACTTTGGGAAATACAAGTAGAAAAAAAAAATTCTGCTGTGATCAAGAACACCAGAGAATTACTTTATTTATAATACCTTTCCATATATTCAATGTGCTAATTAGATCAGCAACAAGGAACCCTCTTAAAGTAGACAGCAAAAAACTTTTGAGACATGTTCAGGCACCTGCAGAAGTCTACCAAAGTGCCTGCTGTGGAGATGGAAAATTCATCTCTTCTGTGATAACAGCTCTCATGCTGTCTTCCATAGTAACACTAAGGCAGCTCAGCATTACTGCAGTTTGGTTTTAAGTCCTGGGTGCTAGAGAACTTAGGGAAAAAACCAAACCACCCCCAAAAAACCAAGAAGCATTTCATAAGAAAAAAGAGAGGAAAAAGAAGGAAAAATCAGACTTTGAAGGGTCATCTGGGTACACTGAGGAGCTGAAGTGCTGTTAAAGAAACAGAGCTTTATCTTCCTCCACTGCCCAGAAACACATACTGCATTTCAAGATGAATAAATACAACAAATATAACTATATTTTTGGAACTTGGAAAAACTAAGTTTGGTAGTAGTTGGTAATTTTTCCCTGCAAATCTTTCTTCCAGCTCTGACAGTAGCAGGAAACATATTCTTCCCATGCCTTTATTGCTTGATAGTTTCTTCTGAGAAGACTATTTTTGCATAACATCTAAGCATTTGTCAACAAATTTTTCCATAGAAGGCAGCCTCTTTGTAGTCAGTGTAAATTTACATATTCTTTTAAGTCTGTTTTGACTGTGTTTCTGCTACCATTCAAGGCAAAGGGAAGGGAGGGGGACTAGGTTTGGGGCTAGTACATCCAAATAAAAGCACATTTTTTCTATTTACAGTTCTCCCAAGTGGTTAGTATTGATGACAGAGCTCTTCTGTTCCTCACCAGAACCTTTTCACTTCTCAGTGCTCCAAGCCATGTTTCTCACACCATTTCATGGCAGCATCAGAGCTCTGAGGATGCCGAAAACCCAACATCCCCATGGCCCAGGGTCTCTGTTTTAGCCCATGATCTGAGTCTTATACTGCTGTGACCATGGTGCTGAGGCCCCTGTCAGGTGTGATTCCTGTGGCTTGCTGTGGTTTCCTGCTTTGGGATCAGCTAATTATCCCCTTCCATTGAGCAGCAGGGGCTCCTTATTATATCACAAAGCTTTCTGATGGACCAGCCTTCACCTGGACCCTCTTTTCCCCTGCACCAGGTCCATCCTGACCTCTGGGTCATAATGATTTCTCTTTCATCCTGCTGGGACTCTTAAGGAATAGCACTAAACCTCTGTCCCACTCAGGTCCTCCTGCCTCTGGGCTTTTCAGGGCTGGCCTGCCACCTCCACAGCAAGTCTGTGTAGAGCCAAGTCCCTACAGATCCCAGACCTGAGGATGGTAATTGGCCTAATGACTCCAACCAGCATGACCCCACTGGTGATGCTCCAGACACACCCAGGGCCAATATTACAGCACAGGAGAGTTTGTCTGTAGCTCAGCTGCAGCTGTGTTTAGTTATTGACTCCCTTAATCCTGATTTCTAGGCATGGGATGATGCCCTGCTATTGTCTCCTCCGTGTGGACTTGCATGCTAACTATTTGATCCTGATCCTGCCCTGTGCTTGCTGTCAGACCTGCCTTAGTGTGCTGCTGTATTGTAATCCAGACTCTCGGGTGTACCTGTCTGCACTTTCTGCTTCTGTTTCGCTTGAAAGGTATTGAGTCCTGACTGAAGAGATACTGCCCTGCTGGCTCTGTTGTCTCCCTTAACTGTGGGCCCCTTCTCCCTTAGGGAGTACCTGGCCCTGATAAGCAATTATCAGATCCAAGTTTAAGCAACTTATGGCTTAAACACAATTCTGAGTGGCCAGGTCCTGTGTTTGGAGGGGAGGAAGAAAGCTAAGCACAGGTCTACCTCTACTGGCAGGTTGACTCTGGGAGATAACACATCCTGGAATGGTTCTGTGTTCCTTTCTTGCCATGAGGATTCATCTGGCATGGGTTAGTTCTGTCCCTTTTTACTCCTGTCAGCACAGGTTTCCTTATCCCTAAATCCATACTGTTGATTCACGCCTGTCTCCTGATACTTCACTAATTACTTTTCCCTTTCATTCTTTTTTCTCATGCTTTTTTGGAGAAAAAAGCACTAAATTAGGTATTTGTTCCTGGTGTAGGTAACAGTCACAACAATTGGCTATGGAGACAAAGTTCCCCAGACATGAATTGGGAAGACAATAGCTTCCTGGTTCTCAGTATTTGCCATCTCCTTCTTTGCCCTGCCAGCTGTAAGTAGAACTTGAATATCTTCATTAAAGGCGTGTCCACCTCTGTGAATGCCTCTGGCTCCTGTAACCTGTGGATCACAGCAAGAAACACATGTTGTTTATTGAAGTTACACAATTCCACTGTTGATCTGCTCAATTTCAGATTTATCTGTTGGAATAAATAGAACTCTGACAGTTTAGACATTTAAAAATTTATTTTATAAAGTCTTTTATTAAATGTCTGTTTATTCCAGGTGTAAAGTATTTCATTTAGGTATGTGATGCTACATACACATCTGACTAGTAATTTTGCTATGTTTAGGGCATTCTGGGGTCTGGTTTTGCCCTGAAAGTACAGCAGAAACAATGTCAGAAGCATTTCAATAGACAAATCCCAGCTGCAGTTTCCCTAATTCAGGTAAGGCCATAACAGTAGAATACTAAAATACCTCAGAGTTTATTAGAGAGGGAGTGTGGCCAGGAAGTTCAAGTATTGAGAATCACTATTCTTAAATTTATTATAGATCTTGTGTTTAACCACTTTGTCATTTTGATCCACATCAGCAAGTAGAGAAAATGAGATAATTGCCTTTCCCTTTCTGGAAGCTGCACTATACCTGATAGTCACAGGCATAATGACACTAACTGGATGCAGTGAGTATATGTAGTGAAATACCCAATAAAATAAAAATCTTCCTTATAATATTTAATTAATAACTTCCTTTTCATATTCTATAGGTCCTGCACATCTGCCAAATCCTGAGATGGATGTGTGTACAAATACATAAAAACACACACCTGTTTTTAGAAAAATCTCCTAGCATAACATTCCATGTGATGATATAAAGAATTAAATAGCACAGTGCACAAACATTCAGTGTGCCACAGTGCAGAAAAAAGAAAACACAGCATTCAGTGGGGGATTCACTTTTATGATGGTTGAGTTTGATTTACTTGGGGCTTTTTTTCTTTTGCTGTGGGCAGAGTGTGATTCCAGTTCATGGAGGGAGCACTCCAAGAGCACACTGAATATCTCTGTGTGATGCATGTGCATCTCCTGATGCAAATTGCATCCACCATGGCTGTATTTTACTAGGAATGGTGTTCACCTGGACTGAGGGGTTTGTTGTCAGTTGGATTTGCTGCAAAATTTGCCGTGCAGGAACCCAGTGACGGCTCCTGCACTGAGGCTCTTTGGGTTTCTTTACAGATCCTGTGGCGCTGCTATGTAGCAGAGAAATCCTGCACCTCCACAGCCACCTGGAAGATCTATGTGACAGCTCCCATGCAAAATCCCAAAAAGTCTCCAGCGCCATCTAGTCCTGGTCTGAGAAAACAGGTGACAGAACTGGCAGGGCTGGCTCTCTGCTTGCTTTTCACTTTAAATTATAATTAACTTGCCAAAAGCCTCGTGAAGTGCCTGAGAAGTTTGGGCACCTGAAATGAAATATGTTCATTTTCCTCCTGCCACAGCCCAATTAGTTTTGTTTTCCTTAAAATAGTCTTAGGGAAAAACATCTTCTAGATAAATTTGCCTTGTTGGTCAGACAGGTACCAACTCTTCATTGTTTTACCCCCTTTGGAGTCTCCTACTTTCTCAAAGCACAAGGCAATGGTGCCACTTTCTCATTCTGCATTCATTTTTTAGCATAGTTGTTACAGGAAGAAGGAAAAAGCCAGTTTAAAAATTTATGTTCACATTTAACATGTGGTTGACAGCAGATACTTTTATCTGAAGTACTCCATGCTGCTTCCATCTCTTCAGAAATTACGGCAAATTCCTGGGCCATGGGTGCAGGAAACTGCAACAGTGTTTGTCTACAAAGGTGGAATTGCCCAAACACTGTTCTGTGGTGCCATTGCCAAGCTTGCCAGAAGGGCAGAGGTCTGCAGCAAGTCGAGCTCAGGCACCCTGCTTTCCCAAATGATGGTCAAGGCCTGCCTTTAGGCAGTGACATCCCACTGGAGCCTGTTTCCTAGGGGAAAAGGGCTGTAAAATTCCCCATGCCACATGAAACAGCCTGTGGTTTGGTGCTAGTGTGACCCTGATTTGTCACAGCTGGAGACAGAAAACAGGAGAGAAAAGGGGTAAAGCTGAAGTAAGACTTCTGTATGCATGTTGCTGAACAGCAAGCAATCCATGGTTGGAGAGATGGGGAAAAAACGTATTTTCACTCTGTCTTCTTTAGTGAGGGGGACTTCCATAATGTATTATTTGTCTGAACCTCCTTGTGCCCTGGGAACCCTCATTTAAGAATATTAGTATGTAGTAATGTTAGAATAGTAATGGTTCTTTCACATCTTACCAAAGGATCCTCTTCTCTTGTTCTTTCTTTGTCTGTAACTTCTTATTTTAAGGTCTCAGATATATATTGATAATTCTGTGCATGTTGTAGCATTCTTTTCTCCAGAGGACTCCTATTTTCTTTTCCTGCTATAAGAGCCTGTAGTCTTTGCTGTTAGAAGTATTTTGATGCATGTCAGTGCATCCACTGTCCACAATAAATATCTATTTCTACCATTTCACCCCCATTTAATTCTGAACATGCATTTGTTTAACTGCTGCTGAGCTGAACAGAAGGAATTTCAAAATCTGAATGTAGACCATAATAAAGTATATCGCATCTCGCCGGAGCTTATCTGGCTCTATCACTTCGGCCTGTGACAGGAGTGGGTCACACCCCAGGAGCAGGATGACCTGAGGTGCAACTAGAGCACTTGCTCTACAGCTTTTTGGCTGTCAGTCTGCGCTCTGAGGAGACAAGGATGAGAGGGAGGTCTTTTGCATGGGATAATAGAGGATTTGTTGCTCTGGGGAATCTTGGGGGCAAAAGACAGAAAATGTGAGTGTGCAACAGCTGAAATAGGGAGGCAGTTCAAAGGGAGGGTAGAAAGCATCAGCTAATCAGAGATATCTTGGGGAGGGTAAAAGGCAGGGTTCACAAAATCATCATCCAATGAGGGAGGTAGGGGGGGAAAGTTGGGTCACATGGACTAATCAAGGTTGAAGTTTAGGGGAATTTCCAAAGTGGAATTCCAAGCATGCGATGGGCTTAAGACAGATGGACAGGAGACTCAGGGTAGATTGACAACGTGGGTTGAGAGGGTCTAATTTGGACCAAACCATCAACTTAGATAATAACCGAACATACCTTAGAAACACACTGCAACATCAGTAAGAATGGGCTTAACTTTAAATCAAATAGCCTTGTTCCATATGTGAATATATTGGCCCTGCAGCTCTTTGTGTGACTCCAAACCTTCATTTTTAATTTTTAAGTACCAATTGTATTGTGTTTATTGGACTGTCTTTAGGCTTCTAAAATCAGGAGAACTGTTTGGAAGCAGGAGGAAGGATTTCTCTTCTCCTGTTGTGCCTAATTTAGCCTTTTTTGGCAAAAGGTGAAATTTTCTTCAGTTGATGAAGTCGCACTAGGGCCTAGTTCATAGCTGAAAGTCTATGGTTATGTTTAATTAAAGCTTTAGAAAAATATTCCAGACAAGGTAATATATGCTGAAGTCATTAGAATTTTGAGTGCCTAGAGTCTTGGTCCCAATTTGAGAAATTTTACTAACAACCTGATTTTTCAGAATGTCCTAGTTGCCTTCTGAGAATCAAATTCTTAACAGATTTTAGTTGATAATTCAGAATCAGACACTTTAAAACCATAAACAAAGGTTGCAGCCCTTTCACTGAATTTCAGTTTCATTCTTTAAATAAAAACATATGACCTCAAGTGAATTCCCTGTACAGTGAAGCTCACATGTGCACTTGTCTATGTTTGACAACATCTTCTGAGATCATTCTGTTCCTACTCTCACAGGCCAGATGATACAGACGAAAAGGGAAGCTGGGCTGTGGGAATGGTTCTGCACCTGTAATAAACCCAGGAGAAAATTCCTTGTCTGTTCCCCAGATCACTTATGATCACGCTGATGAACAAGAGGACAAAAAAGATGTGTCTTTCTACATAGATGAACCCAAAGGTAATTTACTTCTGCTCAGTTTATCATTTTTCAAGAGACAAACTTACAAAGAGCTTATGTGATGAAAAGTTCTATGAAGAAACAATTCTAAGCTAATCAGTAAATCAAGATGTCTCCAACCAAGGATGGTTAGATAACAAAAATAAGGGGACACAAATTAAAGGAAGACTTTAATTCATATGGTGTGATTATCAAAAGAGCTTTCTTTGTTCACCATAAAGTAAGATGTTGGATATATTGTTCATTCTTCTTTTTTTAATTTTGGAAATGGAAAGCTTTCTCAGGTCTACCCCACTTTTTAACTTTACCTCCTTTTACCTCTGAAGGAAGGAAAAATAAACCAGGAAAAATATTTCTACTTTTTTACAGCACCCTCTTAAACATCGTGCAATTAAATTGTGATAAGAAAAACCAACTGTTTTTATGCCAACTGTTTTTATATCAACTAAGAGGTTTTGATGAGTGGGGTTTTTTCTCTTGCTTCATTTAAAATATTGTGTATTTATATAAGTGATAGTTCTATTTCAACATGGAAACTGTCTAAATTTCACTGCTGTGTTAACATACTTGCTTTCTTTGTAAAGTCCTTTTTTTTAAATTAAGTTTGTAATAGAAATGTCCATATAAAATGGTATTGTTTAATAATGGTTTTCTGAAATGCTTATTTTTCCCCTTTTGCATAGAGTTTCTTTGTCTGATAGGATTAGGGCTTTGTTCTGAATCTGCTATATCCTGAGCTCATAGTTTGAGTTCTGTTCCATACTCAGAGGCATTTCCAGTGCTTTTGGGGTTGTGGGAGAGGGCAAGAAGGCAATCTATAACCAAAGTTTCTGCTTTAACTACACATCTCATAACAAAATATTGTCTTCATTCTCAGCATATTTATTGGGCTGGAGCAGCTTCCCTTGCTGACCATGTGACAGCAGATTTTGCTGAGTGTATTTTGGTATTGTGATGTGATGGATAGAAGAAGCAATGTGTTGAGCAACTGGTACCAATCCTGGAGGCCACTATGATGTTGGGGACTCTGCTGCCTGTACTCAGGACTCTGCCAGTGTATGCCGGCTCACTAAAGCTGTGTTCTTTCAATGGTCATAGTTACACTGAGCAACTCTTTCCTCTGTCATAGGAGAGTGATGAAGAAAGCATGTATCTTTTTCTGCCTGACAGTAAAATGAAAGAATTTTCCCCACTTTTTCTGAAAATGTTTTCTTCTTGTACTTTCATTATAGCTGGTCAAATTTATTCTTCTTCTGAAGGACAGCCATGCATATTATTCCCTTACCAATTAAATTTGATTTATTTTTCATTTTCTTTCATGTTTTGCCTTAGCCACTGTCAGGGTTAAACCACACTCAGTTTGATTTTCCTGATTCATTCCTTCTGTTGCAAAGCTTCCAGGAATGTAGCTGGCAAACTCAATTGCTCAATTGACTGAACATACTTGACACCTCTCAAAAGTTTAAACCTGATTTCTCTCAGTGAAATTCTCCTTGCCAGAATTAATAGCCTTTTATTCCTGGGAATTGGAAGTACTAGGCTTCAAGCCTGTAAATGGAAGCATTTTTTTCCTGTCAAAAAAGCTGAAAGTAGAAAAGGCAGAGAGGATCATAATTCAAAAAAGGTAATTGAAAGGAGCCATGCCAGCTTCTATTTGAGTGTTGCTGTAGTGGAATATTTTATTCATTGCTGGTGGGGGCTGGAGGTTTTGCAGGTGATGGCAAACTGCAAGGTTGAATCACATCACTTTTCTAGGCCTGACTTAGGTGAGCAGAGCTGCTGCTTTAAACCAGCTCTTTGCTGCTCTGGTCTGGTGTAACAGAGGGACTGTAGCAAGTCCTGAAATAAATGCTTGTCAAGAACAGGCAACACAGTAACATTCCCACTGATAAAATTCCTTGTTCTGGGCAAAAATAGATAGAAATGTAGTTCAAGTATCCTTGGAAAAGGAGACATTTGCCTTAATTCAGCAATGGCATTATGTGAACACACCTTTCCTCATGCAAATAGCATTTTTCTAATGACATCTTATTCATGTATCTACATGCACCCATCTTATTCTTGCTCAAGCCTTGCTTAGGAAGCAGATCTTCCCAAGCTGGGCAAAAGTGCTTTCCTTTATTTCTATGAGGAAGGTTGGAGAAAAGGGAAACCTTACAAAACAGTGATGATCAACATTAAGGTTTCTGAGAGGTTTCTTTGTATGTGGAATGAAAACCCCATGTATTGGATAGTGCATAATATAGGAACAAGACTTTTATTCACAAAAAATGGTAGAGTTTTGAAACAAAGACTTGATAACCTAAAAGAAAAATTACTTTTCTGCACTGTGTATGGATTCTGGGTGTGACTGAGGAAAAGTGATCTGTAGCACTCAGAACCTGTCCATCCTTACAGAAAGGGAAAGGCCAAGTCTTCCACAATAATAATTTCCTTCGTGGAAATCAAACCTCCCAAAATGAAGCTATTTAGAAAGAAATGAATAAGAAAAAACTAAAACAATCATTGATTAATTTAGAAGATTTAGAATTGTTTTGAAGATTGTTTTAGAGATTTAGACATTTCTAGAAAATAACTGTGGTGCCAAGTCACAGAATGGCTTTGCATAGAATAGGTTGGGTTGGAAGTACCTTAAGAATCAAAGAATCCTGGAATTATTTGGGTTGGAAAGAATCTTGAAGATCATCCAGTGCTACCCCCTGGCATGGGCAGGGACACTTTCCACTATTACAGGTTGGCTTGAACCCTATCCAACCTGGCCTTGGACACTTCCAGGGATGGGGCAGCCACAGCTTCCCTGGACACTCTGTGCCAGGGCCTCACCACCCTCACAGGGAAGAATTTATTCTGGATATCTAATCTAGATACCTCCTCTTTTAGTTTAAAGCCATTCCCTTTGTCCTATCACTGTTTGCCCATGTAAAAGTCCCTCTGCAGTGTTTTTACAAAGTCCATTTAGATGATGGAAGGCTGTAATGAGATCTCTTCACAACCTTCTCTTCTCCAGGCTGAACAACCCCATCTCTCTCAGCCTGTCTGTACATGAGAGGTGCTCCAGCCTTTGGAGCATCTTTGTGACCTTCCAAGTGCATTTGGTTTTTTTTTCTTCATGGGTGTCTGTTGCTTCAACTAAGGAACTATTTCATCTGATTTAATATTTGCATGTAGTGATTTAAAGCCCTCAGTCACTTCATCCTTACCTGAGATTATATCCATAAATATTCTCTGTATTCCTGAAATTAATCTTTACCTGTACTTTTGCTTGTCCTTGTACCTACTCCTCTGCAGCCAGGACTGTTTTCAGGATGACACATATGTGCAAGCCTTCTGACATCTTTAATGTTCCTGTCAGGTTTAAAGAAGGCACTTAAGTATGAAGATTGTAGTTCATTAGAAGAACTCACAATCTCCGTGAGTGGCAGGTCACAGAGAGTGATCTATGCAGATAGGAAACAGCATTTTGGCGTAACTGGAATTTTCTAGATGGATTTTGAGTTTTCTCTTCAAATATCAGCTATTCACCACAGTGCATCCTTCACAAAATAAGCCAAATAGCTGCTTCATAGTGTTTTTTTATTAGAGAGGAGAAAAAACCATAGAAATTTGAAAGTTTTTAGACCTTGAAGGTCAATCTCCTGGGACAGCTCCAGCAGATAGAATATATTACTCTCTGTCAGCTGTTGTACGTCGTATACACAACTCATTATTGTTAAATTTGTCAAAGTCACAAGACTCTCATAGTGATAAATCTCTGCTGAGCAAAAAATAAAATTCCCTGCTTATCACTGTGCTTTACTGTTTGATTTTTGGAGTTTCTTGTATGCTGATGTGGGCACAATTTAAAGCAAAACTGCACAAGAGCAACTTTTTACCAGGAGAGGGAAGAGTACTGCAGTTTTCTCTGACATCCTTACCTTTGTCATCCATCTCATATAAAATGTACAGTAGTGCTAATGTTGATTTATTCTGTCTGTAATGCCAGTTTGGATGCTGACATTCCAGCATTCACCTGTCTGGAAATGCTCTGGTTTTTACCAGAGACTGGTTGCATTTCCCATTGGGAAAAGGGGCTGCTTTCCCTTACTGGTGTAGATGGATGACAGTCTGCAGTACATATAAAGAAGCAGACATTTTAAGTGGAGTGGATTCAGAGATTCCAGTGCTGACAAGCTGAGAGAAAGGTGAGAACAAATATGTGGCCAAAATTAACCGAATAAAGCAAACACCAAAGCTTTTGAGGGTCTGCATAACTGTCATTTAAGTCTGATAATCATAAATATAAAGCTATGTACCAAATTAGCATGCAAAAGTGTCCAGATATCTGGCTTCTGACAAATGTCATGCTCTTAAGAATGTGGGTTTAGCAGATGGTGGTGGCTTTGCAGTGAGAATTTGTGGTCAGTGTGAAGCTGTTTAACATCTCCATTTGTCTGTCAGTTCAGGACTTGTACTGATGGGATTTGCCCATGTGTAAGAATTGTGGTAATACCTCTTTACCAGAAAGTTTTCAGTCTTTACTGGTTCAGCCCTGGCTGCCCTGAGGGAGAACTTCAAGTGAATTCTGTGGTTTATCTCTCATGGTGAAAGTGGATGACAGGGCTGGGGATGGGGATGGGGCAAGGGGAGGTGCAGGAAAATTACAACTAACTCTACCAAAGCCACTCCTGATTAAATCTGGCAGCTTTGGAGGTTTAAAAATTTTTGTTCTGTATTTATTCAACTCCCTGTTGTGCCTGATTTAAGACCAGGGTTTGGATCACTGGTCATGCCAGACTTGAGCAGGGACTTTATACCAGATGTTCCCAGAGACCACAGCAGTGCAGAGTAAGGGAAGGTACTTGTAGCTCACTCAGGCTTTTTCTGCCTATCAGCACAGCAGTGGGGGAGAAAAAAATCATAATTATGAGTTGAAAAGGAGGGCATACCTCAGCGTAGATGTTTTGTTGCCAAAATGAGTATTTTAGATAACAGCTAAAATATCAAAAATGTAGAAAATTAGATGAGCAAATAAATTGTATTTGAGTCAGTATATTGACTAATAATGACACAGAGGCAGCTTTTTGAAGTGAGATTATAAATTGACCTGATAAATGGTAAAGTTTATGGTAAAAAAATTATGCAGCCCTGATAACTTTTGCTCTGGGATCCAGAATATACAAAGTCTTGCTGTGTGAGGCTCAGGGCAAGAGGAGGAAGAAAATCTGAGACCCTGTCATATAAATCTACTTTTGATGACGAAGTCAGTAATTGGGTTTCTCTTCTGATATGTTTGAAGAATCAGCAGAATCTTCTCACTGAATGTAGACCCTTGCGGGGTTTTCCTGACATCTGTATTGGAAGAACCTATTGTCAGCCATCCTTGGGAAAAAGGGAGAAATGAAATAAGGTCTTTCAAGAATGGAAAGTCAGAGTTAATAGATAAGGTATGGTAGAAAGTAGATTAAGAAGTATTATACTTAATGTTCTGTATCAAAAAGGGTTAGCACCTTACTTTAATTATAAAAGTAAGAAGTAGAATTTTGTGCTAGAATAACTGAAATCTTGACCTAATTAGTCCAGATCTAATTGTTACAAAAGAGACTCAAATGCAATGTGGGTTTGATTTTTTTTTGGTTTTGGTTTTTTTTTTAATAATTAAAAAGCTGCAAATATAGTAAAAATTAAATTAAAACTGTAAAACTGGCTTTCAAAATTCTGCCTGTTCAGCTGGTATTTATGCCCATTCAGTTCCTGGGTATTTGCTGCAGGAGGAAGAGGGGAGGAACACAATGACTTGTTGAAATGTCATGTCCTTAACAGGGATGTTATAAATGCAAAGGCAATTTCGGGTTATATAAAAGAGAAAATTTATTATCAAACAATAATAAATTCGAACAACGAGAAAAAACCACAATAAAATAAGCAGCGCAGCGCTGGGTGGACAGGGTCTATACACAAAGTATAGGTGCTCCCAAATCCACACCTGAGAGTCCCTTGGCCTGGGTTTTTATAGGAAGTTTGTGTCCCGAGGCCAAATTCCAAGCAGGCACCCTTTGCTAAGAGGTTCTTGATCGTTCGAAGAATAGATTTCCTGGCACTGGAGAATAGGGTCAATAGACGTTGGGCAGAGGCTCCTCATATGTAAAGAGGTCCAGGATGTCTTTTTGATATCATTTTGGTCTGGGCCATTAGGGTGGAGTGGTGGG